AGCTAATTCTAAAGTTTTATAGAAATACAAGGGATCTAGGAATAGCCCAAAGAATTTTGAAAAAGAACAAAATTGGAAGACTTATCCTATCATACTTCAAGACTTTTTATAAAGCTACAGGTTTATAAGACTCTGTGAGTAATCAAAGAGAATAGAGAATTCAGAAATAGACTCATATGATGTACATGGTCACTTCAGTTTTTTACAGATGCCTACGTAATTCAAGGGAGAAAGGACAGTCTTTCCATCAGCGGTCTTAACAGCAATTTGATATTCATATGGGAAAAAACTGAATCTTAACCCTTATCTCATTCTTTGTATATATAAAAATTAAGTATAAATGGTTCATCAACCTAAGCATAGACCGAAGACAATAAAATATCTCAAAGAAAATAGAGGAGATTTTGTGACCTTAGGTTACATTTCTTAGGACACAAAACCTGTGAACCATAAATTGTACTTTATCAAAAATTAAAAGCATTTGCTGTTTGAAAGCCCCTATTAAGAAAATGAAACGTAAGTTAAAGAGTGGGAGAAATATTTGCAAAACAATTTTTTTCTTTTTCAATTTTAATTTTTAATTTTTTTTGAGGTGGAGTCTTTCTCTTCCACCCAGGCTGGAGCGCAGTGGGGTAACCTTGACTCACTGCAATCTCCACCTCCCAGCATCAAGCAGTTCACCTGCCTTTACCCTCCCAAGTAGCTGGGATTAGAGGCTATGCCTGGCTAATATATTAATATAATATTGGTAGAGATGGGGTTTCACCATGTTGGTCAGGCTGGTCTCGAACTTCTGACCTCAGGTGATTCACCTGCTTTGACCTCCCAAAGTAATGGGATTACAGGTGTGAGCCACCACACCACTGCACCCAGCCAGCCACTGTGTCAGGCCTGTCTGTTTTAAATTTCATTTTTAGTCTTTTCCTGAAAAGCTACAAAACATTTTTTGACAACTTGTATCTAAAATACATAAAGAACTGTTATAACTCAATAAGGAGACTAGCAATACAATTTTTTTTTTTTTTTTTTTTTAAGATAGAGTCTCATTCTGTTGCCCAGACTGGAGTGCAGTAGCAGTTTTGGCTCACTGCAACTTCTGCCTCCCGAGTTGAAGCGATTCTCCTGCATGAGCCTCCCAAGTAACTGAGATTACAGGCATGCACCACCACACCTAGCTAATTTTTTTGTATTTTTAGTAGAGATGGGGTTTCACCATGTTGGCCAGGCTGGTCTCGAACTCGTGATCTCAGGTATCCGTCCACCTCGGCCTCCCAAAATGCCAGGATTACAGGCATGAGCCACTGTGCCTGGCCCACAATACAATTTTTTTAATGAACAAAAGATTTGAGCAGATGCTTCACTAAAGAAAATGAAAATGTGTAAGTACTTGAAAAGATGCTTAACATCGTTAGCCATTAGAGAAATGCAAATTAAGATCGAAATGAGGTACTACTACATGCCTGTTAGAATGGAGAAATTAAAGGTGACTCATGACTGTAATCCCAGTACTTTGGGAGATTGAGATGGCAAGATCACCTGCCTTCAGGTGTTTGAGACCAGCCTGGGCAATGTGGCAAAACCCTTAGGAAATCTCTACAAAAAAATACTAAACATTAGCCAGGTAGTAAATAGAACTATTGATACACATATTAGCATGGATGAATTTTAAAAGCATATACAAAAAGCCAGATAAAAAGTTACATAATATATGATTCCAGTGATAAGAAATTCTAGAAAAGGCAAAACTACAGTGACAAGCACATCAGGATTTTCTGGGGCCAGTGAGGAGTCAGGAAAAGGGTAATTGGAGTGGGGATGAGAGATTTGGGGGTAGATGGAAGTATTTGAGGGGTGATGGAAATATTCTGAATCTTGATTATGTTGGTGGCTACATGCTCTGTATATTTGTCAAAACTCATTGGACCGTGCACTTAGGTGAGTTTTATTGCATGTAAATCATACTACAATAAAACTGCTTATTTAGGCTGGCCATGGTGGCTCATGCCTGTAATCCCAGCACTTTGAGAGGCCAAGGCGGAAGGATCACCTGAGGTCAGGAGTTCGAGACAAGCCTGGCCAAAATGGTGAAATCTTGTCTCTGCTAAAAATGTAAAAATTAGTCCAGGCATGGTGGCTCACACCTGTAATTCCACACTTTGGGAGGCCGAGATGGCCAGATCACAAGGTCAAGAGATCGAGACCATCCTGGCCAACATGGTGAAACCTTGTCTCTACTAAAAAATACAAAAATTAGCTGGGCGTGGTGGCCTGCGCCTGTAGTCCCAGCTACTAGGGAGGCTGAGGCAGGAGAATTGCTCAAACCCAGGAGGCAGAGGTTGCAGTGAGCTGAGAGCGTGCCACTGCTCCCCAGCCTGGTGACAGAGCGAGACCCCATCTCAAAAAAGAACCGTGTGTGTGTGTGTGCGCGCGCGCGCATGCGTGTGTATTTAGCCTGTGTGGTGGCAGGTGCTTATAATACCAGCTATTTAGGAGGCTGAGGCAGGAAAACAGGTTGAACCCAGGAGGTGGAGATTGTGGTGAGCTGAAATCATGCCACTGCATTCCACCCTGGGCAATAGATTGAGACTCCGTCTCCAAAAAAAAAAAAATAGCCACGTAAATACTCACTTTATTGCCAGCAGGAAAACCATCACTTCCTGCCTGACTTAATACTGTTTAAAAACACAAATTCACTCATATTCAGTCAACATGATAAACTGGAGGGCTGCAGTTGGCATGTGACTGAGTGACTTGCCAGTGTGATTATGCTGCAGGTGCCAGAAGACACATCTCAAGGGTTAGTCAGCAGACGTTGCCCAGAAATCTGAAAAGAGAATCGAATGCAGTCCAGGCACTAACGCACAGCAGTATACGCTTTTATTTTGCCGGAAGGGCCTTTTGGCACAACCCATGCATTGGCGTTTGATCTTGTTTCACCTAAACCAAATGTGTCTGTTAAGATTTGTTTTTTTTTTTAATTTGAGGTAGATTTAGGTGTGCGGGGGAGAAAGGTTTTAGCCCTTTTCCTGTCATAGACCTTACAAAAGAATCACTTTCTTTACTTGTGTTTGTTGAGGTTGTTGGTGAGGGTTTGAAATCTTCATTAGCTGGCTTGCTGCTAACTGAAAATTGAGGATGGTTGGGGGAATGCATGACTCCACGTTTCACCTAAGCTTTCTGGGTAAAGGGGTCTCCCCAGCAAAATCTTCAGTGCAGTCAATTACCAAGGGAGTGGCTGAAAGTGTTTAATATGCGTAAGCTGGCTTCAGAACGAATGCATGTTCTGTATTACAAAAGTCCTGGGTGGAAAAAAACCAAATTTACCTATATGTTTTTGTAAAGGGCATATCTAAATCAAAATAATCCAGGAAGTGACAATAAAATAGAATGGTGGAAAAGTTTATCTTGAACAAATGCTGACAAAATGAAAGTACCATAGCAATATCAGTATGGGATAAAATAGACTTCATATTGATGAAAGATGTAATCTCCTAAAAGAAATAACAGTTAGGAATGCTGGTGAACATAACTTTGAAATATATAAAGGAAAGCTAAAGGAAAAGTCTGATGGAATACAAGTATAGATTGACAAACACAGTCTCGGAAGACTGGAATATATTTCTCATGGGTCAGCAGATCAAGTGGATAGAAAAGAAGTATGTGAAAGATTACAATAACACAATTAGATACATGTAATAGAGTTTACATACTCTTCAAAACTTGTAATAAATCAACTTGCAAACATTTAAGCACTTCCACAAAGAAAATCTCAGTAAAATAGGGATGTAATAAGTCATTTCCCTCCTAGGGAGGTAATGTGTATAAAAGTGCTTAAGGTATAAAGCCTTGGAAAACATTCGTTCCTTTTATTTGTTTTATCCTAGGGACTGCAGCAGTAGGACACACAGACAAGATCGGGCGATTGAAGGAACTCTGTGAGCAGTATGGCATATGGCTTCACGTGGAGGGGTAAGCCGGCGGTGAGGCTGGTGGCTCCAGTTGGGCCTGCACAGAGTCCTCGTGAGGACTGGACAGCCAGGCTCTCACTTTGTGGTGATATTTGTCACAAAGGGCTCTTTGGGCCACAGATTACAAAATAACCCAAATTGGCTTAAGCACAAGGAGATTTTATTGGCTCATATAACTATGAAGACCAGTGTTAAGACTGGCCTCAGGCATGACGTCAGCCAGGATTCAGTGTCTTCCTCCCACCTCTGCTCCCCTAGTCACAGGCACTGTTTCCTCTGTTTGTGGACAAACCTTCCTGTTACAGTGCAAAGCAGCTGCAGAAACTCGTCTTCTTTCCAGCGTCATGGTCAGCTGGAAGTCCCAACTGAAGGCTCATATTGAACTGGCCACTGTGGCCAGGGAGAAAGAATCATCTGATAGTTCAGGTTCTTTGCCCTCCTCCGGAGCAGGTAGTGCTGTCTCCTCCCCGCAAAGCTCATGTTCTGCTAGAGGAAATGGGGGTGGCGCCCCAGAAAGCTGTTGGAGGGCCGTTAAGAGAAGCAGGGGGAACGGAAGTGAGGCGGCCAGAGTAGGCCATATCCACCACATCATACAGGGAGGTTTGTTTTTTATCCCTAAGTAAAGAACGATGACTGGAAAATAGGATCCGTGAAAGAGAATAATAGTCCCCTTATACTAAATGAGCAGGGGTAATTCCTGAAACACGTTTTCATTAAAGTGCATTTTCAAGATTTTCCTGAATTTGTATAAACCACATCTCCTGTTGCTGTTATAAAAGCTAATAACACATTAAAAAGATACTTAAATGTCACCTTGCAACAGCACAGCGTTTATTTTTTTAAGTACATAGTGAATAAGCAACAGTAAATCATTAGTTCTTAGACTGGTGTTTTTTCTTCCAGCGTGAATCTGGCAACATTGGCTCTAGGTTACGTCTCCTCGTCAGTGCTGGTATGTTGTTGATTTACTGAATATTGGTGTTTGTAAGAAGGAATTTAAAATCACTCAATCCCTGATGGCTCTTCACAGTTTTTATGAATGGAGGAGGATGATGGGTTTATGTGTTCTGATAATCTAACAAACAGTTGTTTTTGTTTTGGTAGGCTGCAACCAAATGTGATAGCATGACGATGACTCCAGGTCCGTGGCTGGGTTTGCCAGCTGTTCCTGCGGTGACACTGTATAAACATGACGACCCCGCCTTGGTACGCTTCCCCTCACTGGGGAGGGAGCACACGTGGCTAAGTACACATTATTTGGCCGTGGGGGCCAAATACAGAAAAATACGGGAAAAAGTGAAAAATATCCTTAGTTTCACTTCTGTTTCATTTTTTTAAAAAGAAATTTGTAGTGTGAAACTTTTCAGTGACACTTTGATTGTATAATATTCTGTCACAATATAACTATTCTCCATTTATGAACTTTTAGGATGTTTTCAGATTTGTGTTATTGAAATAATGAGGCAGCGAACATCTTTCTGTGTTTCTGATTATTTCCTTAGAATAGGTTCCCAGATGTGGAATTACTGAGTGGGGGAATTTTAAGCCTCCTGATCCAGATTGTCCAACAGGTTTTTTTTTTTGGATATGGAGTCTCGCTCCGTTGCCCAGGCTGCAGTGCAATGGTGAGATGATCTTGGTTCACCACAACCTCTGCCTTCTGGGTTCAAGCAATTCTTCTGCCTCAGTCTCCCAAGCAACTGGGATTACAGGCATGTGCCACCACATCTGGCTAATTTTGTATTTTTAGTAGAGGCAAAGTTTCACCATGTTGGTTTGGTTGGTCTCAAACTCCCGACCTCCTGATCTGCCCACCGTGTCCTCCCAAAGTGTTGGGATTACAGGCTTGAGCCACTGCGCCCGGCCACTTTTTTTTTTTTAAATCATAGTTATGGGCTGGATGTGGTGGCCCATGCTTGTAATCCCAACACTTTGCAGGGATGAGGTGGGCAGATCACTTGAGCCCAAGAGATTGAGACCAGCCTGGGCAACATGGTAAAACCCCCTCTCTACAAAAAAATACAATAGAATTAGCCAGGCATGGTGGTGTGAACCTGTAGTCCCAGCTTACTCAGGAGGCTAAAGTGGGAGGACTGATTGAGCCCTGGAGAGCAAGGCTATAGTGAGCTGTGATTGCACCACTGCACTCCAGCCTGGGTGACAGAACGAAAATGAAACCCTGTAACCAAAAATCCTCCACTACTAAAAAAAAAAAAAAAAAAAAAAAAAAAAAAAAAAACCATAACGTGGTTCTTGATAATAGTCAGTGTGAAAATAAGGTTTAAGTGATTTCTGCCCAAACACTGTGTGCCACGTTGCTCAGCTAATAATGGCCAGCCGTTTGAGGATGTGCAGAGCTACCATCAAAGTGGGAAGTCTCCTGAATGGCTGGGTTCTGGGATGTGACCCATCGGAAGTTTTACCCTGGCTTTGCCGCTCTCTTGCTGTGAATCCTTGGACAAACCAAGGTCTCTGAGTAAAGTTATGTAGAATATTTAACTCAGAGTTATTGGAAGATCAAATGGATAATGCAAGCCAAGTCACTAGTATGGGATCTAGCTCATACTAAGTCGGTAGCAAATGGTAGCTGGCTGGTTCTGTTTTGAGATTGCAATGGCTTTGATTAATAAACCTCTTTTGGCTTTTTTAGACTTTAGTTGCTGGTCTTACATCAAATAAGCCCGCAGACAAACTCCGTGCCCTGCCTCTGTGGTTGTCTTTACAATACTTGGGACTTGATGGGATTGTGGAGAGGATCAAGCATGCCTGTCAACTGGTGAGTAGAAGCCTGACGTTTAAAAGAGTTAGAAAGACTCCTTGGCCAAAGCAGAGACAGAAAAACATCTCATTTCTGTACTTCCATCCAGAGCCTTACTGTCTGGTGAGGCAGTGACTAATCACCCTGTCTGTATATCTTTCTTTTTCAAAGTTCTGGGAGAAACTGCTGGGTTGTTCCAGCATTTGTGTGCAGATGAACTAAGATGAAAAGGAACAGCATTGTCAGCATGGGATCAGAAGAGAAGTCTCATGATTTCCAGGGAGTGGAGAAGGGTGCAAAAGGTGGAGGGTGGGGGAATGAACGTTCCCCTTGATGGACGGAGTCTCTGCAGTGAGGGAATAGGAAGGTTAGAGGGTAGTTACGGAAGGCGTGGATGTTTTGAAAACCAGCTGGCTCGGGTTCCCAATTTGCAGGGCTCTTGGGAACAATTCTAATTCTCTCTCCATTTTAGGTGTGTTCTAATTGTGTGAAAAATCCATAGTTATGCTATAGTTCAGTGTCTTAGACCATTCGGGCTTCCATAACAAAATACCTTAGACTGGGTAATTTATAAACAATAGAAATTTATTGCTTACAGTTTGGGAGGCAGGAAGTCTCAGATGAAGGTGCCAGGAGATTCCGTGTCTGGTAAGGGCCCGTTCCTCATAGACAGCACCTTCCATGTGGCCTTACATGGCAGAGGGGATGAATGCACTCTCTTGAGCTTCTTTTAGAAGGTCACTAATCCTATTCATGAGGGCTCCATCCTCATGCCCTGATCACCTCCCAGTGGCCACAATTCATTTGGGAATGGGATTAGGTTTCAATGCAGGAATTTTGTGGGGACATAAACATTCAGACTTTTCTAAATAGCATTTAGAAAACAAAAGAACAAGGTCATGTGTACTCAGGGTTAGAGCTGAGCCTTGCCTAAGCTCAGAAGTGTGTCATCTCCATTTTCTTACCTATGAAGTAGAAATCATAGAACACAGGATTGCTAGGAGGGCTCGAAGAGCAAATACAGGTGGAGCTTTTGCGGTAGCGTGTGTTCATATAGTAAGTTATGCATAAGGCTTGAAATCTTTGTTTTAAATATATTCTTGGGGAGTTGGCACTTCCTCAAGTATTATTTCTTCATTTAAGAAAAATAGGCCAGGTACGGTGGCTCACGCCTATAATCCCAGCACTTTGGGAGGCCGAGATCAGGATCACCTGAGGTCTGATCACCTGAGGTCAGGAGTTCGAGACCAGCCTGTCTGACATGGTGAGACCTCTGTCTCTGTTAAATTAGCTGGGCATGGTGGTGGGTACCTGTAGTCCCAGCTACCCAGGAGGCTGAGATAGGGAAAATTGCTCGAACCCAGGAGGCGGAGGTTGCAGTGGGCCAAGATCACGCCACTGCACTCCAGCCTGGGCAACAGAGCGAGACTCCGTCTCAAAAAGAAAACCCACAAGAATAAGTAATTTCATACTGCTCTAGCTGTAGTCCCTTGCTTCATGATAAGTTAGGATAGTTTAACAGTTTTAAGATTTATGCACTGGTCTAGGCAGGATGTCTCATGCCTGTAATCCCAGCATTTTGGAAGGCCAAGGCAGGTAGATCACTTAAGCACGGGAGTTCAAGACCAGCCTGGGCAATGTGGCGAAACCCTGTCTCTACAAAAAATACAAAAATTACCCAGGCATAGTGGCGCACACCTGTGATCCCAGCTACTGAGGAGGCTGAGGTGGGAAGATCACTTGAGCCCAGGAGGTCAATGTTGCAGTGAGTCCAAATAGCACTACTGCACTATTCCATTCCAACCTGGGCAACAGAGTAAGACCCTTTCTCAAAAGAAAAAAAAGATTGATGCTCATGTTTACAAAAGCACTGCATTTTTTGAAAACTGTCTCACTGTGCTATTAGCTCATGTTGTGAGATGTGGCTCTTAGGAAAGAGAAGCCTTTATTGCCTTAGTACTTTAGTTTAGAGATGGTTTAGGCGCTCAGGGGAGATTTTTTCAATTCCCCTTGGCTATGGAGTGCAGGAGAATAATAATGCTATTAACTGCCAAACCCTTGAGGTCACCACAGCTCTGGCATCTTCCCGAGGATTCGAACGCTGCCCTGCTGCTGACTGACAGGCTAAATGCATATTAAAGGGCATGGACATTTACCAGACATGGCAATCTGTATATATCTATGCCTTATAGTCCACAGTGGAGCATACATTCTCTGAGAGCGGAAATCAGCATTCTCCCCTCATCCTCCTCCTTCCTGTTCTTCTCACTCTCTCTCCTCCTTTCTCTTCTGTAGTAGTTACTGAACATTCACCTCAGTGTCAGGTACCGTGAAGTACTTTCATGCAGCATTTCATTTGATCCCTGCAAATTCACCAGAAGGTAATGTCCACTGATGACAGTATATTCAGAATTAGTTTTTTTTTTTTTTTTTTTTTTTTTTTTTTTTTGGGTTTTTTTTTTTTTTCTTTTTTTCAATTTTTTGAGAAATTTTTTTTTTTTTTTTTTTTTTTTTTTTTTTTTTGGAGATGGAGTCTGGCTTTGTTGCCCAGGCTGGAGTGCAGTGGCATGATCTTGGCTCATTGCAACCTCTGCCTCCCAGGTTAAAGTGATTCTCCTGTCTCAGCCTCCTGAGTAGCTGGGACTACAGGCCACCACATCCAGCTAATTTTTTTTTTTTTTTTTTTTTTTTTTGAGACGGAGTTTCACTCTTGCTACCCAGGCTGGAGTGCAGTGGCGCAATCTCGGCTCACTGCAACCTCCTGGGTTCAGGCAATTCTCCTGCCTCAGCCTCCCGAGTAGCTGGGATTACAGGCACGCGCCACCACGCCCAGCTAATTTTTGTATTTTTAGTAGAGATGGGGTTTCACCATGTTGACCAGGATGATCTCGATCTCTTGACCTCGTGATCCACCCGCCTCGGCCTCCCAAAGTGCTGGGATTACAGGCGTGAGCTACTGCGCCCGGCCCTAATTTTTATATTTTTAGTAGAGACGGGGTTTCACCATGTTGATCAGGCTGGTCTTGAACTCATGACCTTGTGATCCGCCCACCTCGGCCTCCCAAAGTGCTGGGATTACAGACATGAGCCACAGCGCCTGGCCAGAATTAGTTTTCTTTAAGAAAAAGAAAAAAGGAGGCCGGGCGCAGTGGCTCACACCTGTAATCCAAGCACTTTGGAGGCCAAGGCAGGCAGATCAGCTGAGGTCGGGAGTTCAAGACCAGCCTGACCAACATGGTGAAACCCCGTCTTTTAAAAAAAAAAAAAAGAAAAAGGAAAAAGGAATTTTCTTGAGCAACTTTCTGCTGTCCAGTAGTCAGTATCTGTTGAATTAATGTACTCCAATCCCATGGGTTAGATACGGTTAGTGATGAGGGACTGGGATTGAGACATTAGTCTAGCAATGCTACATTCTAGACCCTGTTTCTAAGCACTTGGCTGTATTCTATATTATTGTATATCAGCTCGTTTCATCCTTACAGCCACATGAGATAGATACCATCCTCCCCATTTTATAATTGAGGGAACTGAAGCAGACAGGTTAAATAGCTGGTGACTGGCAGATGGAGTGACTTACCTGTGGTCCTACAGGTGGTAAGTGGCAGCCTGTGCTCTTATTGCCAGCTGTTGAGCACGCTGTGGCCTCTCAGTTGTCATTGGTCTCCCCCAGTGTTCAGTACTGTGCCTTGCACATGTTTATACTCAGTAGCTTTTGAATGAAAGACAGACTTACACTGCAAATACAACATATTCCTGTGTCTTACTAGAAGCTGCTTTTCTTGAATTACTACATGTAACTTTTAAATGAAAAATTGGGGAATATTTGCAGATGTCGAAATACAAAAACGGGTGGTTGAACTTAGAAACCACCAAGTCGCGTTTGACTTTTTGTCTGAGATCTGCGTTTGCAGACCTCCACAGCCCCTCGTAAAAACTGCTTCTTCGTGTGCTGTGTCCATCTAAGGAAATTACATGCGCTATTTTTTGTCATTTGCAGAGTCAACGGTTGCAGGAAAGCTTGAAGAAAGTGAACTACATCAAGATCTTGGTATACTATTATCATTTCATCTGTTTTCAAAACAAATAACTTTTTTTAAACTTCAGCAACTTAGAATGATTTTCTCCACATTGGATGCGTTTCAGTGGATTTGTGGTAGCTCCACTAAAAAAACAAAAATTGTGCCTATATTTATGACCTAATTATACAGTGAGCCTGAAGTGAAGAAATTTGTAGCATATAATGTTTAATTCTTACGGTCATTTTCATATATTTCATTAATTGTGTTAATGTTTAGAATTGCACAGAGGTAAATACCATTGACTTCAGATGCCCAAGGCCTTTGGCACACCCATCTTCCTGAAATGAAAACTCACTTTGTATCTCACAGTGCTTTGGGCTTCTCTTTCTGAAACCTTCTGCCATCAGAGTTTTCCTTTGCATGAAGCAAGAGAAAGAGAAAAGCACATGGTCCTGCCCTTGTCTTCTGCTGTATCTTCCCGAAGTGAATCCAGCAGAGATTGCTCCCTAGGCATAACTAGACAAGGAAATAAGGATTTAGGAGAGGTAACCACCAGAGAGAGGATCAGTTCAGGTTTAATGTTTCTGTGTTTTGCTTCATTGTATTTTAGAACTTCAGGAAATAATGTCAAATTCTGATTTAGATAGGTTCATTCAGTGTTTCTTTGACAATTCTACAAGGTATGGTTAAGTTTACAACTAGTATTTGAGTGTATTTGGGGTTCAAGTTAGTAGAGCTTATTTTTCTTTTAGAACATGGTTTGGTCTAAATACGAAAAGCTGGGTATGGTGGCACACGCCTGTAGTTTCAGCTACTGGGGAGGCTGAGGTGAAAGAATTGCTAGAACCCAGGAGGTGGAGGTTGCAGTGAGCCGAGATTGTGCCACTGCACTCCAGCTTGAGTGACAGAGACCCTGTCTCAAGGAAGAAAAATTTTAAAAATGGTTTGGTTTAAGGGGGTGGCTATTCCTGCATTGCCTTCTGAGTTAGAGTCTTGAGCCACTTGACCCGAGTTGTAGCTGGGGTTGGGGTTCTAGCCTTGGATGAGGACGTGGACTGCTGGAGAAACAAGGAATGAATGTAGGAGGCTTGGGCTCTGCTTCTAGCAGTGCCACAGGTTGGCCCTGTGACATTGAGTCATTTTCTTTCGGGGCCTACGAGCTCCACTGTCAAAGATGGTTGGACTCCTCTGATTGCAAACAGAAATGCAAATTATGGCCTAGATTGAGCAAGCTGTTAGGAATGCAGGCGGTGCTGGGCCTGTCTGCTTTCCCGCCCCTGCTGTGCGGATCCCACTCAGCTCTTCCTTAGTCCTCGCTACCCCCTCGTTCTCACGTCGGGCAACCCAGTGGTGCTAGTTAATCACCAGCTGTTTTGGTGCATCTCTGTAGACCACACTGGCCCAGGCAGAAGGCCTGCTCTGTCCCTGCTTCCAGTGGCTGTTTTTTCAGTAGAGCATACAGTAATTGGCAGACACCATGAAGCATTGTGGCTTGTCATCATCATCAGCAGCAGCATCTCCACCATCCCAGCTGCTGCCTGTGAAACGTGTGCGTGGTACCACATGCGTATTTCCTTCAGCCCTCCCAACAGTCTCCTTTGTACATGGGGTACACCAATTCTTCTAATGACTGGTTTCTTATCTTTCAGATCCTGATTCAAATCTCACCTCTTTAGAAAGGACTTTCCTGACCCCCTAAGATAACTTCTCACTGTCAGACATCACTCCATCCCCTGGGTCGTCTTCATCCACTTTTTACTATCCGAAATGAAATCTGTTTGTTTTTTCCTATAGAAGCTTTGTCAAGGCCTTACCCAAGACCCTTGCCCTGAAAACCCAGTGCCAAGCCCCAGACATGCTCCTCACCCCCTGCTATTCAGCTTACAGTCATCTTTCTGTTTCTTATTCTTTGTGGATTCACCCTTTTTTGTGTGAGCCCAGCAATACTTTAGCCTTTTTTTGGTTCTTGGTTATATTTAATCCAATATTTTCGATATTCGGAATTGATAATTTCAGTATTGGCTCAGTCTACCATATCGCTTGAAACGGAAGTGCCTCTAGCCCTGTGTAATATTTCTTACACATGTTGACATTTGAGACTACTGAGTTCAAATACTGAGTTCAGAAAAAGAAAAGATGATCATAATATACATCAAAGTTTTGGCACTCAATTCATTCTGCCTTCTCCTAACTAAGGATGGGAGAATGGGTGGATTATTTTGGTGCCTTTTTGTTCCTACTTGCTTATTGGTCTTGCTCCCCTATTTAAATATTAAGCCCCGGCCTATACTTTTTAAAGTATCACATTTTATTTGTCTCTGTGAAAGTTAAAGATGATAGATGTGAAGGCGCTTAGCACAGGAACTGGCTCCGTAAATAACTAACACATTAGAATTCATATCCTGCTTGATCTGAATCCTGTACACACGGTCCTTTGAAAAGTTAGGAGAAAAGATCTTGGGCCACCCCTTCCTGTCTTTCCAAGTTAGCGTTTCCTGTTGTGGCCCTGCCAGTGAGTCATCACACTCAGAGCCTTGGAACAGAAGCTTTATGACTAGAGTTATAGTATTGGAATTGTTGGATGCTTAGAGATCTTCTCCCCCAGGGCGCCCACACGCCCCTGTAAGCACCACAGAGCCTGCCAAGGACATGGCTGCTCACGGTACCCTGACCTCATGGGCTTGACCAGGTCAGGGTATACTGCTTGATGCAGAACAGGTTATCATAATGCAGTGAAGGTTTTCATCTGTTAGGAAACTCATGAATGAAGTTAGTCATCTGTGGCCTGTCTTAATAATAAGCACATATATTAGAAAATACATAGATGCAGTTCTCAGCTGTGCTTGTCTACATTGCCAGCAGGATTTGCATCTTGTTCCAAAAGTTTTACAAAGGGGAACAAAGTACTTGTTTTACCCCCTTTTTTCTATAAATATAAAAAATTCTAGTTGGTCAGGCATGGTGTCTCATGCCTGTAATCGCAACACTTGGAAGGCCAAAGTAGGAGGATTAATTGAGGCCAAGAGTTGAAGACCAGCCTGGACAACATAGCAAGACCCCATCTATTAAAAAAAAAAATTAAGTTTCAATAAATCCTGCATAATTTCTGGGATTTTTGAAAGCACGGGCTCTCTCAGCACTGAGTGTCCTGTTACTGCTTCTTACTAGTTTTAATCTTTAATGTTAGATCTGTGTTTGTCCCTTATTAAAATTTCTTCCCGCTTTAATTTCAATGTACCAGTGTCGCATAGCTTATAATTCACAGTAGACTCTCAGGGCTGGTTCATAGTTATTTTTAAAAATTTGATTTTTGTTTCTCTAGCAACTGAAATATTTGAACTTTTTAATGTGTTTATTTATAAATAGAGCATCTCTAACCTATTTTTCGAACTCAGCATTTTGTTTTGAAGGTGTCTGGAGTTTAATATGAGACTTCCATTCTTCCAGGTAGAAGATGAGCTCAGCTCCCCAGTGGTGGTATTCAGATTTTTCCAGGAATTACCAGGCTCAGGTAGGTGATTTTTAAAAGAGGGTTATTTTCTTTCTTCTTCTTTTTTTTTTTTTTTTGAGATGGAGTCTCACGCTGTCACCAGGCTGGAGTACAGTGGCGTGATCTCAGCTCACTGCAACCTCTGCCTCCTGGGTTCAGGCAATTCTTGTGCCTCAGCCTCCTGAGTAGCTGGGAATACAGGCATGTGCCACCACACCCGACTAATTTTTGTATTTTCAGTAGAGACAGGGTTTCACCACGTTGGCTAGGATGGTCTTGATCTCCTGACCTCGTGAGCCTCCCACCTTGGCCTCCCAAGGTGCTGGGATTACAAGCATGAGCCACTGCACTCAGCCAACAGGGCTATTTTCATATCTGTGTTAAAGGCTTTGAATTTGATACTATTTCAGCTTAAATAGATAGTTGAAAATATTTTTATTCGTAAAATCTTCAGTCATCATTTCAGAAAAATGTAACAATTTTTATGAAAACTTCAGCTCAAAATGCCTTAGCATTTTGCCGATAGTTTGCGGTGATTAAACAATCAGCAAATAGTTTGGGGTTCCCAAAATAGTTTGGGTTCCCAAATGCCAGTCCCTGGACAGTCCTGGAATGGCTGAGAGTTGTTTGAACATAAAGATTTGTGGGTCTTAGCTGGGTGCGGTAGCTCATGTCTGTAATCCCAGCACTTTGGGAGGCTGAGGTAGGCTGATTGCCTGAGGTCAGGAGTTTGAGACCAGCCTGGCCAATATGATGAAACCCAGTCTCTACTAAAAATACAAAAATTAGCCAGCTGTCATAGTGCACGTCTGTAATCCCAACTACTCGGGAGGCAAAGGCAGAATTGCTTGAATTGGGAGGTGGAGGTTGCAGTAAGGCAAGATCACACCACTGCACTCCAGCCATCTCAAAAGAAAAAAAAAAAAAGTTCCAGGTGCCACCAACTTAGTCCAGGGCACCACTCTTTTTTACCTGGATGGCCATTGTCACCTCTCAACAGATCTCAGACTTTCCTACATTCTGCACAGCGCATTCCAGACCATCTTCCACCTGGCAGAGTGAGGGTTGTAAGCAGAAGTCACATGGTGTTGAAGCAGGAAAGGTTCCCTTGTCCTCCTCACAGGGCATGCGATGGGGGTGTGGCTTCACTGCCCGGCTGTGGCTCAGACCTCTAGGAGAGCATAGAGACAGGCAGACTGTGGGGCTCCTACCCCACAGTAGCATCTAGGGTCGAATGTTTACAGCTCCTGAGGCCCCCGTGGGCGTGTTACAGGGTGCTCTTTTAATTTAGCCGTCTTTAGGTGGCTCGTTTTAGTTGGCTCAGTTAGACCCCCTTCCTTATCACGAGGACAGAGGGATTCATGTATCGCCGGTTCTTGCCTTGGTGTACCAGAGGAAGCGGATCACACTTGGGCTTGGAGAATGAGTGCCAGGTTTTATTGAGTGGAAGTGGCTCTCTGCTGATGAGGAGGTCAGAAGGGAGATGGTTTTCCCCTGGAGTTGGGGTGCTTGGTGGCCCTGGCCAAACTCCACCTCGTTTCGCCAGTCGATGGCTTGGCCTGCCGGTGTCTGTTGGGTTGCTCTTCTGCTGGCCTGCTCTCCATGACCAGCCTCTTGTGTCTTCCTCTACCAGTGTGTTCCTCTCACCATCCAGCCACTTCTATTTGGCTGCTAGGGTCTCAGGTTTTTATAGGCCCAGGATGGGGGTGTGGCAGGCCAGCGTGGTCTTGGGAAATGCAACATTTGGGGGAAAGCAGGAATGCCTGTCGTCACCTAGGTCCGTGGGGGTAGAGCCCTAGCCAAGGACCCACCTTTCTCTCCCCAGCACTTCCCCACTTCTGTGTCATTTAAAGGGACCATTCTCTTCCCTTCCCAGCACTCCCGTATCAGTGCCACTTCCCTGGCCAGAGCCCATGGGTGTCTTATCGTTTCAGTTGAACAAAGGCCAGGCTCTTCACCATGCCCCATGAGGCCTGGCACCCTGCCTTGACTTCCCCTCTGCCACTCTCCCTCTTGTTGACGTGCGTCAGTCAGACCAGTCTTCTCTGTGCTCCAGGAACACTCTGCTCTTCCCTACCGTGAGGCCTTCACACTTGGCGTTGCCTTTGCCTCACACACATTTCTCTCTTCTGGTGTCGGCTCTTCCTGACCATTTCAGTCTCCACTAAGTGTCTGCCTCCTCAGAGCCTTTCCTGCCGGTCCTGCCTGAGGGGGCTGCATCATACTCTATCAGAGCCCCTGCCTTCTCTCCTGGCACTAACAACCACATGGAGTGGTCTTCTTTCTTTATGGTCTGTTTCCTCAACTAAAACGTAAGCTCCAAGATGACAGACACCTTACCTGCCTTCCGTCCCGTGTGCCTGGCATGGGTGGCACCCACCACAAAGCCGAGTTGGATGATCGTGGCGCTCTCACAGACCTCGCACAGTGCTCGGTAGACTAGTTAGTAACTTACAGCAAAAATGGCTGTTTTCTCTTGCAATCCCTTGAAAGCAAACCTTTTTAAAAATGAACTTACTAATTCTGTTTTATGTGAATGTACTCAAATGTTACATAGATCACGAGGAAAAAAAAAAGGAAACGTAACCCTTCTGTCAGATACATTTTGAATTGAGTAACACGAGTCTGTTCCCTTGGGTTAATATTGGGATGGGAATGATGTGGGGTTGGGATAGTGTTTGTTTCGGTCAGCTGTGTTTCTGGGAGTGACTCCCTTTCTGTGTTTTGGTGTCAGATCCGGTGTTTAAAGCTGTCCCAGCGCCCAACATGACACCTTCAGCAGTCGGCCGGGAGAGGCACTCGTGTGACGCACTGAATCGCTGGGTGAGAAGTGCGGCCGCCTGCCTTCCCTTTCAGGTCCCTGGGCATCCCTGTCCGACCTGCCAGTGAGGGTGACACATGCTCGTGTATGGGAGCTGAGGCCTACAGGAGGAGCCGCCCTGCGGTGCTGGGTCTGCTCTGGGGTTCTGTTCCCGGTTCCGTCACCGCCTCATGCGCTGGGTTGTCTCTGGCCAGTCTCCAGCATCGTTCCCTCAGTTTCCTTGCTGCCGTATAAGGCTGTGAGACAGTATGCCAAACTTAGGCCTCAGGGCAGCTGCCATGGGTCTGGTGAGCCGGGCAGCACTGCCAGGACCCCCAGGCAGAGTCTGCTGAGCATCTGCGGCTGGCGGTGTGGAGCCAGGCCCTGTGCTTTGGCAGCTTTTTGGGCTCTGAATAGCAGCTGTAGGGTTTGAGTCTGAAGGGTGCTGTGAACAGTGAGGGGGCGGCAGCAGCAACAGCAGTGGTCCTAGCCAACGCTGGACATGCCCCGCCTAATGGGGTTGGCAGATAAGTCATGGCACATCCACACTGGGGCGGAGCACAGCTGTGAGGGACCACAGAGCTGAACGTCTCAGGCAGAAGGGAACTGTCACCATAAAAGACATGAAACCATGCAGGTTACTAAGCACTGTCAAGTAGCGTGTTTCATGACAACAAAAAATACAGCCCCCTCCCCGCCAGTCGCACAGAGAAAAGACACTGGGGATAGACCACATGGCAACAGTGGGTGTCGCATAGCAATGTATTGTGGGCCATTGTTATTTTCTCCTTTTGGTTTACCTGTATTTCCTAGGTTTTTTTACAATGAACTTGTATTTATTAATCAGAAAAAAAAGTAAAATTTACTGTTAAAAAAGCTGCCCTAAGTATTCAGAGACAGTCAAAAGATGAGAAGGAGCCAGCTCTCCAGGAGCCTCTTTGGTCTGGGCTGACTGGATGAGGGTGGGTCCTGAAGAAGTCTGAGTCTCTCATTATAGGAGGTGTTGATTCTGTCCTTCTCCCCACAGCTAGGAGAACAGCTGAAGCAGCTGGTGCCTGCAAGTGGTCTCACAGTCATGGATCTGGAAGCTGACGGCACATGTGTGCGGTTCAGCCCTTTGATGACAGCAGCAGGTAAGCAGGCTTGGTGGATACTCTTTGCTTTTGTTGTGGGGCTGCTTGCCTTCAGGATATTCCGTTCTCCTAGAGTTATCAGCATCTGTTTTTGGAAGGGCTTTTTCTCTTTTTGAGCTAAATTTAGGTAGATTAGCGTTCCCATGTAACTTCTCAGAATCAAAATGAGACTTCAGAAGTCACCTGAATTGACCGGGTGCAGTGGCTCATGCCTATAATCCCAACACTTTGGGAGGCCGAGGCATGCGGATCATCTGAGGTAAGGAGTTCGAGACCAGCCTGGCCAACATGGCGAAACCCTGTCTCTACAAAAAAATAAAAAATTAGCCAGGCGTGGTGGTACATACCAGTAGTCCCAGCTACTTGGGAGGCTGAGGCAGGAGAATCACTTGAACCCGGGAGGCATAGGCTGCAGTGAGCTGAGATTGCTGCACTGCACTTAAGCCTAGGCAACAGAGGAGACTCCGTCTCAAAAAAAAAAAAAAAAAAAAAGTAATCACCTGAATTCTCTTTTTTTGTGTTGTGACAGGGTCTTGCTGTCGCCTAGGCTGGAGTGCAGAGGCAGGGTCACGGCCCACTGCAGCCTGGACCTCCTGCACTCAAGTGATCTTCCCACCTCAGCCCCTGAGTAGTTGGGACCACAGGCATGAGCCACCATACCCACCTAGCTTTTGCATTTTTTGTAGAAATGGGGTTTTGCCATGTTGCCCAAGCGGAATCCCTGTATTTTGATGTCTTGTGACCCTTGGTTTTCCACTGCAAGGGTTCCTCCTCCTAGCAGTACATCACAGTTACCTAGGGAGCTTTAGACACAACCAATGGCTGCCCACCTCCAGAGATTCTAGAATGGAGCCTGGGTATCTGTGTTTTGGTTATTACGATTTTTTTTTAGAAACAGGGTCTCACTTGTCACCCAGGCTAGAATTCAGTGTCTTGACCATAGCTCATTGCAACCTCAACCTCTGGGGCCCAAAGAATCCTCCTGCCTCAGCCTCCCAAGGAGCTGGAACTACAGGCAAGTGCCACCACATTTGGCTAATTATTTTATTTATTTTTGGGGGGACTGAGTCTTGTTCTGTCACCCAGGATGGAGTGCAGTGGTGCTATCTCAGCTCACTGCAACCTCTGCCTCCTGGGTTCAAGCGATTCTTCTGCCTCAGCCTCCTGAATAGCTGGGATTGCAGGCGCACACTAGCACGCCTGCTTAATTTTTTTTTTTTTTTTTGAGATGGAGTGTCGCTCTGTCGCTCAGGCTGGAGTACAGTGGTACAGTCTCGGCTCACTGCAACCTCTGCTCATTGCAACCTCCGCTCATTGCAACCTCCATCTCCCGGGTTCAAGCAGTTCTCTGCCTCAGCCTCCCAAGTGGCTGGGATTACAGGCACCTGCCAGCATGTTTGGCTAATTTTTAAATTTTTAGTAGAGACAGGGTTTTGCCATGTTGGTCAGGCTGGTCTTGAGCTCCTGACCTCATGATCCGCCCCACTCAGCCTCCCAAAGTTGTGAGCCACCGCATTACAGGTGTAAGCCACCGCACCTGGACTAATTACAGGTGTGAGCCACTGCACCTGGACTAATTTTTTTGTTTTTTCATAGACATAGGTTCTCTATGTCATCCAGGCTGCTCTTGAACTCCTGGCCTTAAGTGATCCTCCTGCCTTAGCTTCCCAAAGCACTGGCCACAGCTCTAGAGGCTTAGTCTCTCACACTGCAAAAGCAAGCCAGTGAGCCCCTGAGGCCCGGTGCTGTCACCATCTCCCTGTGCTTCCTGTGTGGGGACCAACCCCCTACAGTACTTTCCTTCTCTCAGTCATAGTAATATATACAGAGAACCTGTGGTATGATGTTTGCAGCCTGCCAGAAGTGGGCTTTCTATGGGAAGAGTGATTTCTAACACTGGAGTGTGTCATTGTGGGCCACATCTGTGAAAGAAACAGTCCACACCTGGTACAGCCAGCTGTGTCAGTTTCTAACTCTAATTCTTCCTTGTCGGGGTTGAATGGCTTTTTAAAAAATCTCCACGGCACCGGGTAACTGGAGTACCTCGAGCTTTTGACCTTCCCAGTAGTGGAAGAGGGAGCTCTGCCCTCTCGTCATCTACCATCTCGAGCGTTTCTCTGACATTTTGTGAACGTCTTCAGTTTTAGGAACTCGGGGAGAGGATGTGGATCAGCTTGTGGCCTGCATACAAAGCAAGCTGCCAGTGCTGAGCTGCACGCTCCAGCTGCGCGAAGAGTTCAAGCAGGAGGTGGAAGGAACGGCAGGTCTCCTATACGTTGATGACCCTAACTGGCCTGGAATAGGGGTTGTCAGGTAAAGTCTTGGCCTGCCACTTGATGTTAGAGACTTTGCTGTATAAAGAACATGGGTGGGTCATTTTCTGAACCAGCTTAGAAATCCAAGATGAATGTGCAGTCACAATATGGTTGTTTCATGAAAATGCAGCTTGATTTTCTGGGAATTTACAAAAGCACAGTGCAAGCAGGTGATTCGGCTCACCATGGCACTCAGGGAGGGGGAGTTGCTGAATGTTCTGTCTGTAAGCGCCGACTCTCGGCTGCATAGGAGAAGGTGCGGACGGGTATGTATCACTGACAGTGGTTGCTCACCTGGGCATAATGAGAATTGCAAATCAGTTAAGAAAAAGGACCAGCTCTCGAGACAGAACTCCCCTGTCCTTTCTTGTTCTGTGGGAACAGTCCTGTGGCTGCTTTCTGTCGCCTTCAGAGGCGAGGCAAGTCTTTTTTTGTATTGCACATGAGATTTCCAGACCTTGTCTTCCCTATCTACATGGACCTAAAGACTTTGGCTTTCAGCTGGGCATGATGGCTCACACCTGTAATGCCAGCAGTTTGGGAGGCTGACAGGAGGATTGCATTATTTGAGGCCAGCAGCTTGAGACTAGCCCTGGACAATATGGCAAAACCGCATCTCTACAAAAATATAAAAATTAGCCAGGGGTGGTGGTACACACCTGTAGCCCCAGCTACTCAGGAGGCTAAGATGGGAGGATCAGCTGAGCCCAGGAGGTGGTGGTTGCAGTGAGGCAAGATCATGCCACTGCACTCTAGCCTGGGCCACAGAATGAGACCCTGCCTCAAAAAAAAAAAAAAATTAGGCCTTCCTGTGACTCTTCCTTTACTCCTGGCAAGCTGTAAACCTGTGGCATTCTTGAAAGGTTGTGGTCTGGAGACACTCACAGTAGCTCTCTGCCCATTGGTTCTGCTCTACTGTCTTGCTAATTACTATCTAGAGGTTTCTACACCACCTCTAATCCTGTGTCTGAAGAGACATTTGATCTTTCAGACTGAAATGCTGTCGTTTGATGTTGTTTTAGGTATGAACATGCTAATGATGATAAGAGCACTTTGAAATCAGATCCTGAAGGGGAAAAAATCCATGCTGGACTCGTGAAAAAGTTAAATGAGCTGGAATCTGACCTAACATTTAAAATAGGTAATTACTTACTTTTATAAGTCAACTGTGACCTTTGGAAGGACATTTGCTAACTGGCTTTAAGGAGTATGGCTCATCTCTTGGAGGGTTAGAGTCTCTCCGGCTCTGAGACCTCCCTCCCCTTCTGCAGCCTTGCCGCGCCTTTCCGTCCATCATGAGAATCTCCATGGAGGAGACCCCTTTGTGCGTGGTCAGGCCACTGAACAGGAGAGCGGACCCGCGTCTCACCCACGACAGAGGACTTGGAACCAAGTCTGTCTTGTTTCCTCTGCAGGCCCTGAGTATAAGAGCATGAAGAGCTGCCTGTACGTGGGCATGGCGAGCGACGACATTGACGTTGCGGAGCTCGTGGAGACCATTGCGGCCACAGCCCGGGAGATAGAGGAGAACTCGAGGGTCTGTAGTCCCCTCAGTGTTCCTTCCTTTTCCAGGTTTTGCCCCAGCAAACAGCGGGGTGTTGAGGAAAGGAGTTGCTCTCAGGACGTCTGCTCGTTCTCTGTCAGTGTTTACTGTAAGCTGGGCCTTGTGCCAGGCATCAGTGATGCCAAATGGGTTTGACCCGGCCCGTGCCCCAGTGAACACACAAGCTCAGGGGAAAGATCCACATAGCCACGCTGGGTAGTAACCGCGCCTCGGAGAAGAGGGCGGGTGGCTAGACACACAGGCAGACACATTCACCCCTACCTGCCAAGGTCAGGGAGGACTTCTGCTCTGGAGCTGGGTCCTGAGGGTGAATGAAACAGGTGCTGCTTTGTGTGTGGTTTCCCCCACACTCCTCCCCTACAGCACTTCCCACCTGGGATAGACCTGCTTCTATGGGTCCCTTAGGGTGGAGGACCAGGCAACAAGGCTGACAGGGTGTCCTCCAAACAAACGATTACTTCCCTAAAAAAATCACTCAAAAGGAGATAGGAAGGGACCAAGGTAAGACTGCTCTGACAGGAGATGCATGCCATTGGAAATGCGGCTGAGAGCCAGCTTTGTTCATTCTTGGGTGGACTCAAGGTTTCTTCCCAGCCTGACTCTGACTTCTGTGTTTTGAAGAATATTGAACAGTGCTTGTTTTCTGTTTTTTTTTTTTTTAACCTGATATGCCATTTGGGTGATAAATAGTTATTTCTTCTCTGTTCCCAGCCAATGAGGCTGGTCACTAAGGTGTGTCTGCCTGGGCCTCTGTGAGCATTTCATCTACTTGTCTGTTTTTCTATTTTCTTTTTACACTGGCATTTCAGTGCAGGATTTCATTGACCTGCTTTTGAAAATTCTCCCAGTGCCTCGTTACTAGCTCTTCTGGGCCCCAGGCAAGAAGCTTAAAGTAATGCCTTTCTTGGTCTTACCACAGCTTCTGGAAAACATGACAGAAGTGGTTCGGAAAGGCATTCAGGAAGCTCAGGTCGAACTGCAGAAGGCAAATGAGGAACGGCTTCTGGAAGAGGTGAGGCTGCCGATGGCAGCAGGCTGGGGGTGCCACTGCAAGGCCAGGCAGCCCAGAGCCCCGGTCATGTCTTGCAGGGGGTGTTGCGGCAGATCCCCGTCGTGGGCTCCGTGCTGAATTGGTTTTCTCCAGTCCAGGCTTTACAGAAGGGAAGAACTTTTAACTTGACAGCAGGTAGGAGAGCGTAGCCTCCGCCCAGGTCTCATTGACCTTGGGAGGTTTCACCGAATGCCCTTGGGTTCCAACACTCCTCCCGCTGAGAAGCCCGGCCTAGTTCCCGTTCTTCATCGCTGGGTATGGGCTGGGCATCTGAGGAGACACGGTCTGGCTGACCCTGTGCCCTGTCGTCCTCCCTGCACATCCTGGCACCTGAAACAGTAGGGAAGCAGTTACCCATTCCCCACAGCTGCCGCCACCACAAGGCCATGAGGACACGCCCACTCAGCCGTGCAGATTCTGAGGATGCTGTCTTGGGCATTTTGGTTCAGGGCTCATACTTGTCGTCCTCATATGTTTTGCCCCAGCAGTCCTGCTTTTGAAAGCAGCAGTGCAGAGACTGAAGCGTGGAGCACTGGCATGGTTTATTCTGACCTGGGCAGCCAGCAAGCGTTGCAGCCGCTGGAGTGTGGGGAGGATGTTATAGTCTAGGTCTCCTCCTTTCCTCTTCTACCACGGAAATAATTTCCTCCACCCGAGGCCCACCCTTTGTTCTTCCCCAAAAAAACGATTACTACATTGTCATGAAAGCAAAAGATAATCTGATTTCTCATCTGCCAAGCCTTAGCTTTCAGCAAAGAGGCACCCACTTCTTGTGGCTTCAGTGCATTTGTTAGGCCCGGCTCCCCCGGTGCACTTATGCTGCACTGCCGGCCAGTGTTGGCACTACTGGCCCTGGGAGCCACCCTTCTCTTGGCACATTCGTAGGTGCCCGCGTCTACACCAGTCTGTGGCAGGCTCAGTGTCTGAAAGGTTATTGGGGAGCAAGGCTGTGTGAGGGCAGGTGGCGTGTTTCAAGGCAGCCTATGCCTGCAGCTTCCATCCCAGCTCTCTACTCGCCTGCAGGCTGTCTGGAGTCCACAGAACCTATATATGTCTACAAAGCACAAGGTGCAGGAGTCACCCCACCTCCAACGCCCTCGGGCACTCGTACCAAGCAGAGGCTTCCAGGTACGTGACACGGCCATGCAGAGTTCAGGTAACAGGTTTCCCCTGTTGGCTGTTACTTGCATTCCTTTGTTTTCTGGGTTCTTTAACTCCAGAGGTCTGTGTATCTTCACTTAAGACCAACTACTACCATCTTTTTAACCATTTCAGTAGCCAAGGAGTTCAGCCTTGGAGAAATCCCTTGGTAGCACCCCAAGGGGGAAGTGTGGGGTCTTGAAAGATGACACTGTCACTGTGGTGTTTCCCTCCTGGGCATTTCCTAGTGAAGATGGCCGCAGAGATGCCCGGCGTGGAGCACGTGTTGGTGTCATGCTAGCAGCTCCCGGTTTTCTCTTCAAACAGTTCAGAGCCAGTAGTGTTTTCTGCTGAAGCCGTGTTGTAAAATAAGGCAATTACCTGTTGCACAGACAGCCTGTGTGGCAGAAGCATACTCACCGAGCTTTCAGCGCTGTCTGTCTACCCTTTCTCTAGGCCAGAAGCCTTTTAAAAGGTCCCTGCGAGGTTCAGATGCTTTGAGTGAGACCAGCTCAGTCAGTCACATTGAAGACTTAGAAAAGGTGGAGCACCTGTCTGGCGGGCCGGAGCAGATGACCCTTGAGGCCAGCAGCACTGAGGGACACCCAGGGGCTCCCAGTCCTCGGCACGCTGACCAGACCGAGGCCCTCAAGAAGGGGGCCCTGCGCCCAGAAGTTGACCACCCACAGGTAGAAGGACTGGAGAGCTTAAGATAAGATTCAGTGTGTGGTTTGAGACTGTACTGAGTATTGTTTCAGGGAAGAGAAGTGATACCGGAAATGTGAACTGTGCCACATACTAATACAATAGAAATTACTGTTATTTGTGCTTCACTGGGATTTTTGCACAAATATGTGCCTGAAAAGTAGGCTTTTTAGGAGGGCAGTCAACTTGTCTAACTTCTTGTGTGTGTAGACTCACCAGGAACTGTATGCTGTCCTACTCAGCTGTAGTAATACCACTTTTTCCTAGGTTACCGTAAACACTTTTTATTCACAAAAAACACTTAGAATTTCAAGTGTCTGCCACTTGAACGTTCGCTCTTTCTAAACATAAGCAGAAGTTATGAGGTTGCACATGGCAACTTTTTGGTAAACAGCTTTTCGTTAGCACTCTCCAGGTTCTCTGCGACACTTCAGAGAGGCAAGACTGGCCGCATCCTTTGTTGTCTGTGTTAGTCGGTCTCTAGTGTGATAAACTTGTAATGTACAACTAGACTGCCAGGCTTGAAGGAGCATGGGTGCTCTGGGGAGTGTAAATCAGAGCATCAGAAGCCCTCTCCGACTATCCCCCACTGCTGCTCTTCCTGGAGACTTAGTAAGGACTGTGTCCACTTGAGCTGTGGCAGGGCTTCTGTTGGGGACTGTGCCCTGCCACAAACCCACTTCTCCCTTTGTATACTGTTTGTAAACAAATTTAAGGACTGACCTATTCAGAGACACTGTAAAGTCTCCTCCTGACCATATATGTATATTTTTAAATACTGGTAAAGCTTTTAAATTGGCACACAAGTACCAACTGTGCTCATTTTTATGTTTAGTATCTAAAAAACCTGATAGATGCTACCCTTAGAGCCTGCTATTCCAGGTGCTGTGACGCACCCCCCTGGGTTAAAATCTGAAAGCAAGTACCCTTTGACCTTCCCCTACAGAAGCTCCTGTAGCTTCTACTGCCCTGGCACCTCACCTGGGCTCAACTCGGTCATAGGCCAGTAGGGCACTCTCTCATGCTGATCAGCCAGGCTCCTTGCTTAAGTCAGTAGAAGCTCACTCTTACTGCCCGTTACTACTTTTCCGAAGTACTGGCCCCCGTGCCTTCTTAGTCCAGCAGACTCAACCTTTTGGCAGACCTGAAAATGGGGAATTCACACTGGGTTTGTGGACTGTAGTACTAGAAGCCTTAGTTATACCACATTCAGCCTATAATTACACTCTGATTTGATGGCATTTTTTTTGTTTGTTTTTTTTTTGGTGCAGATGATTAAACAAAGTCTTCCCTGTTTATTTGGTGCAATGAAGTATAGCAGATAAAATAGGGTTGGGGTAAATTATCACCTTTAACAAGATTAAATGTTTTTATATATATTTGGAATTGTTAAATTGGTTTTGCTGAGACATTTCACCCTTGACATACTATTTGAATGCTGGTTTCAATAAACGTTCTTGAAATTGTTACCAGTGAATCAGTTTATAAACATTATAAAAGACTTACCCAAGTATCTGAAATAGCTGCTTATCTACCAGTGGGAGATAGATAGGTTCTTCTCTGCTGACCAAAAAAAAGCTAGCTAGAGATGAACTTTTTAGTAAAGCAAAGTCTCAACAAATGCCTTTGCCAAAATAAGGTTTTATTTTGAAAGTCATTTGAAAGACACTGAGAAAGGAAGGAGACCTAAGACCCAATGGATGTAGGTTCCAAATTCAGATTCTTGCCAGCTCCACCCATGGTCTCTGTCAGGCCAAGAAGGTGCTTTCTTTGGTAATTCCTATTTTTTAGTTTCCTGAAGAGATCTTTTCCCACAAGCCATCTTCATTTTTTTTGTAGACTAGGGCTTTATTTCCAGGAAACAATGTATTAGTTGGAGATGGGTATTTTTTTAAAAACATCAAGGTAGATCTAATATGTTCAACAAAGTGGGGTGGCTCGGCCAGAGGCGAAGTGGAAAGATTCTGAAAACACAAGATGGTGGGCATAAGTCACCTTGCTCCGCCCTGCTTTCATAAAGATGTCGAAGCATCTTTGTTCTTGGACACATAAATATATATAGTAAAATACGTAAGAAACGGAGTGGCATCGATTAGTAAGAAAAAAGTTGCTTACTGCTTTACCCACACATATTTCCATCTAGGACTCGACATATGCCCAATTGATACACAAATTAAATGGGGTCAGTGGCATCCAAAAAGTAACTACTACACGCCGAAGGGAAAGCAGCTATGACCTGGTCTAAACCCTTTTGTCTCACAGGTGGGAAAACCAGGGTCCACAGATTTAAAACTTAGCCTGTAAATTCTCACCTCTAGTATTTGCTTGTCATCTTGCTGCAACCAGAAATCCACATGTGGAAATGGTGTCCAGGAGTACGGTCCTATACGAATTTGTTCTGTCTCTGCATCGTAAATACTAATCATCTAGAAAAGAACGTGTCAAAGAATTTGAAGAATGTCACCCACTTTTCACACCCTCCCAGCAACGCAAGCTCCAGTGTAGTCTAGCACTTTCAGGAATTTATCTGCCTGATAAGCTTCTTAAAAACTGTCTCTAATACCAAAAGCTGCCACCTACTAAACACATCTAGTGTATCTGCTACTGCAGGCTGTGGGTCACATACGTGGCTGTTGGCTGTTTAGTGCTGACAACAGTCCTGCAAGACAAGGGTGTTTTTTTCCCATTTGGGGTGAAAACGTGAGACTCAGAGAAAGGGGGCCCATTTCCCAGGTCGCCTGTCCGGTAAGCCTCAGAGCTGGACCTCAAAGCCAGGTGCATCTGACTGAAGTCTGTGTTCCTCATTGCCACAGAGAACACTGCCTCATTATTTATACCCCAAGCAACTGATTGCTTTGCAATTTAAAAGCATACAGTGGGCTGGGCGTGGTGCCTCACGCCTATAATCCCAACACTTTGGGAGGCCGAGGCGGGTGGATCACGAGGTTAAGAGATCGAGACCATCCTGGTCAACATGGTGAAACCCCGTCTCTACTAAAAATACAAAAAATTAGCTGGGCATGGTGGCGCGTGCCTGTAATCCCAGCTACTCAGGAGGCTGAGACGGGAGAATTGCCTGAACCCAAGAGGTAGAGGTTGCGGTGAGCCGAGATCACGCCATTGCACTCCAGCCTGGGTAACAAGAGCGAAACTCTGACTCAAAAAAAAAAAAAAAAAGCAAAAAAAAGCATACAGTGCCTGGTGCCCCAACAAAAGAAAGAACCTGATTTGCCAAATGATCCATTCCCTGAATTCCCAAATTTGCCAGTGGTAGTCTTACCTTACCCAGCAATATATTCAGCTTTGGTAACAGACAGAAATAGGTTCTGAATATTAACTAAACTAGGGCCATTATGCTCCTTGAGAAATCCTAAAAATGTTAGAAGGGCTGGCAAAACAAATCGCTCTGAATCCCAACACTAAATGTCAGCATTTCATAAATGAGCAGATTTCTTTGGGGTGGCCTGAATGAGATTTCTGTTTTTTCACACTTTGAGCATTTTTAAAGACTTCTTTCACCCATTCCTCAAATGCCTTATACACTTTGGGTTTTCAAACTTTTAAAATCACAGTGTAATTTAATTAATTTGATCATTCTGTTGGGTTAATTAAATTGTTCCAGCAAATTGCTCTCTAGTGACCTGATCCAAAAAAAACTTCTCTCCTGCTTCCCAGGTCTCCTCTATTTGCAGGAACTTTACGTATAGGAAAGCTCTTACTAAGTAACAGAAGTTTGTTCTCTTTGAATTCGGATGCTTGGATTCACACATACCTCCCGCACCTTTTAGGCAGAGAACTGGAGTCTGGAGCTCATGACCTAAAGATATTCATTACTGAGAGAGAGTGTGGGGAGGGGGCGTATGTGTGTGCTGGTCCTCGGTAATTTACAGCTAAAAAGAAGCTGACATACAACATAGACTTTTCTAAGACTGATAAGGCCTTGGCATTTGATACCTTTTTAAAATCCCTTAACACAAAGATGATTTCAAACTCACTGGTCCTCCTGCTAAAGCTCGCGCAGCACGCAGCTGCTCCTCTGGACCTCGATCTTGAAAGGAGGCTCTGTAAATCTCTGCAGTCTTAATGTTGACAGCTGTGAGGGACAACAAGATGACTCTGAATTAACAAAAGACCAAAGTGGAAAGCCTGCAGTCTTAGTTCTCCCACCACTCCTAAGAGAAAGCTAGGAAAGTGAACAGAATGGCTCCTAAGTGTCTGGAGCTGTTCCTCCCTTTAGAGGGAAAATGCTACCCTTACCGCATTACGCATTTCAGTCAGGCCTGAGCTGGACTCGGTGAGATTTTGTTCTAAACCAAGAGCTGCTTTCCACATGGGAAGCAGCCATTCCTGCACTTGGACAAGTAGCAAAACCTCTCTGGTCAGCCCTACTGGTGTACAGCCAGGGGTAGGTGGGTGAACTGTTATTGTTCTGTTGGAATCTTCACAATTTCGTATTTTATACACGAAGTTAAAGAGAGTAAGACAGTGAACACCTGCGAAATAAATATCACCAATACAGCAAAAGGCCTCTGAAATATAGCCAATCTCATGCCTTTTCCACAGGAGTCCTGGGGCTGTCAAGCAGGGAGGATGGTTCTAAGTTTTCTTCAGCCTGATAGTTTCACACTTTGGACAACTTCGGTTCTCGAGCAAAACTTTCCTCGGTTCCGGAGGTATAAAAAAATTCCAGTGCCTGTCTCCCTCCCCCAGAGCACTGGCAGAAGACAAGCACACCTGCCTGACGTGCTGGGGAGAGAAGGAAACAGAGGCCAGGTGCTCCCCAGCTCCTGGGAAGGATGGGCCTGGCCTATGCTATTTGGTACCACACTGCTTCTTCAAAGTCTTAAGACATGAACATTATCTCCATTTCGTAGGTAAAGCTTACAGAAGTTAAGCTACTTGCCCAAGGTCTCACAGCAGATGTTCAGCGGAGCTGGGATCTGAACCCAAGGCTGTCCCATCCTGACAGCAGTGGTTTGCTGAATTAGCTTTAACCGCACATGTGCCAAGCCTCCAACCCACAAAGATGCACACTACTTACCAATGCCATATATTATTGGAAAGTGGTTTTCGTTTTCTTCCCGGTCATTTAATTCTACAAAATAAAAACGTTTAAGATACTTTTTAAACAAATACCAAACAATTATTTTTATTTTGTATGATAAAGGCCAAGGAGGAACCCCTCACTGCAGAAAGGGAGGAAAATCCCAGAAACTGAAAGGGACTGTGACCCTGTTTCCCTGCCCTACCCCAAGGCGGGTGGGTTTATACTGAACAAACTGGCATATGCAGAAGAGGTCCCTAATCCCACCCCACCTTCTCCATGCACCCCAGCTGCCACACAGGTGGCAGCTGTGAGATCCAGTGCCCTCCTTCCTGGGAGACGAGGCACACTTGAGGGGGCTGCATTGGAACTGACACCGGGCACCGTGGCGATGGCCATCCCACCACAGCAAGAGCTGGAACAGACGCCGGCCAAGCAGTGACAGCAGTGTGTGCCGGTGCTTGGTCCCGCTGCAAGGCTGGGGGCAAAATGGTCCTGAAATGCACAGTTTCGCTTTGGGACACATAGCAGAACTTACCTGTCACACATAATGTCACTAAGTGAATGTCATCTTCTTGCCTGTCAAATTCACCTACGATGAGAATTTTAAGACTGGTTATCAGAAAAGCTCCTCTAGTTACCAGAACAAACTGCTGAGCAAGCCAAGGACAGGGAGGGACAGCAGCCAGCTGAGTGTGCTTTGCCCCACACCCTCTTGCCCACGCCCAAGCAGCCACAGCCCAGCCTCTGGGGCCAGACCCGAGGGAGCTGACGCTGCAGAACCCTGACCGCCACAAGACGGCCACATTCAGCCTCAGGCCCCAAGGAGCCGGGGCTGAGCCTTCCCATTTTTCTCTTCATTCTGAGAGTTTTGCAGGGACCCATGGATTCATAGATTTTTACTTTTCTCCTAAGTAACCTGTTTTCCTGATTATCGGAGTTGTAAAAACAAAAATCTGGCCTCTGTAACAGATTTGAAAAGTACAGGAAAGCATAAGTCAGTTTTCAACATCCGTAATCCTAGCACTGTTAATTTTCTTCCATATTTTTCCGTGCTCAGCAGAGCTGACCACAGAGACAATGTTACATCCAAATTTTTCCGTGCTCAGCAGAGCTGACCACAGAGACAATGTTATATCCTTTTTTTAAAAAAAAAAAGCAAAAAAAACATGGAGTCTCGCTCTTTTGCCCAGGCTGGAGTGCAGTGGCGCCATCTCGGCTCACCGCAATCTCCAAGCGATTCTCCTGCCTCAGCCTTCCAAGTAATTGGGATTACAGGCGTGTGCCACCATGCCTGGCTAACTTTTCTATTTTTAGTAGAGACGGGATTTCACCATGTTGGCCAGGCTGGTCTCAAACTTGTGGCCTCCGGTGATGCACCCACCTTGGCCTCCCAAAGTGCTGGGATTACAGGCGTGAGCCACCAAGCCCAGCTGACAATTTTACATCTTGATTTCTTGTGCATAGGTATTTTCCCATGTAATTCACAGCTTCATGTGTTATTTTTTAGTGACTACATAATTACTGTTCTGATAACATCAGATTTCCTGTTGTAAATAATGTTCTGCTCATCTTCAGGCATAAATCTCTATGCACGTTTCAGATTATTAGCATATATTTCCACAAGGGGAATTACTGGGTCAAAGTATATGAACTTTTTGTTTTTTTTGAAGATGGAGTCTAGCCTGGGCAACAGAGTGCGACTCTATCTCGGGCAGGGGGGTAGGGTGGGGGGGAGAGAGTTAAGTCATGATGCCAAATTGCTTTCTGGACAGGCTGTACCATTGTATGAGTAAGCCTTCCTCATGGCCTGGTGGATAGTCAACACAGAACAATATCATCTTTATTTTTTGAAAATATTTCCTAATTTAGGCAGGGTGCAGTGACTCACGCCTGTAATCCCAGTACTTTGGGACCTGAGATCACCTGAGGTCAGGAGTTCAAGACCAGCCTGGCCAAGATGGTGAAACCCCATCTCTACTAAAAATACAAAAATAGGCCGGGTGCGATGGCACACGCCTGTAATCCCAGCATTTTGGGAGGGTGAGGCAGGCGGATCACAAGGTCAGGAGATTGAGCGCATCCTGGCTAACACAGTGAAACCCTGTCTTCTCTACTAAAAGTACAAAAAAATTAGCCAGGCGTAGTGGCACGTGTCTGTTGTCCCAGCTACTTGGGAGGCTGAGGCAGGAAAGTCGCTTGAACCCAAGAGGTGGAGGTTGCAGTGAGCTGAAATCGTGCCACTGCACTCCAGCCTGAGCAACAGAGCAAGACTGTCTCAAAAAAAGAAAAAAAAAATACAAAAATTAGCCAGGCATGGTGGTGAGCGCTGGTAATCCCACCTGCTTGGGAGGCTGAGGCAGGAGAACTGCTTGAACTT